GCAGGATGCGTGGCTGTATTAAGTCTTGATGCTGCTCATTAGCTCATGGTTATCCTCTGAAGTTCAACTGGCAGGGGCTGAATATGAAAATGGTTTTTTCCATGTATCTTTTACGATATTTGATTATAAAGACACATTAGATATATAAAATAATGTTTTCTGACTGCATTTTTATTTTCTGGAAAATGAATCTTACATTTTGCTTTCTGTAGTTTGTAAGTAACTTCACAGTAGTCTACATTATTTTGGGTTTTGGTAGTTGTTTTTTTTTTAAAGCAAATCGAAATAGTTAACAGAAAATTAAAACCAGCCTGTGTCTAAAAAAGAAGGTTTATTAGCTACTTTTTTATGTACTATGAAATAGCGCAATTTGAGTTAATGAGAAGGATCCAGGTTTGCAAGAGTGCTTTGGCTGGGTCATCTGCTCTGGGTAGTCCCACGTTTTCTGTAAATTAGCTTTACCGAGATTTAATTTCACAGATTTCTTTTTTTCCCTAGTTAGCTACATGTTTTAAGTTTCTTCAGCGTGGTATTCTAGTTGAGGATTAAAAAAGAAATCCAGTATTTCAGTTCCCTTTTTTAACTACACGAACTGAAAATAAACTCTGTACTGTATGTGGTTTCGAAAGGAAATTCTCAAATATCTGAGGTTTAAAAAAAAAAAAGGCAGCGTACCAGAGATGGAGAAGGGAGAAGGTCACAGGGAAGGAGCACAGCAGATCGTTCTGGAAGGACACGAAGACGGGGGAAGGCAAGATAAAGCAAAGCTGCTGATCGTCATAGCTTAACATGGCAGGAAGAGACTCACTTCACTGAAGTATTCTTGAAAGTGTGACATTATTAACACACTGAAAAATAATGATGTTCCTCTTTAAAGGGCTTAAAATGTTAGTACTTCTTTTAAAAGTGCATCTTAAAGCAGGGGGAAAAAAAGAAACTAACAATAAAAATGCAAATGGCGACCAAATATAAACAACATCAAGAGGATAAATAGATAATGGTCCTTTTCAAACAGATGAGCAGTGTGACTGTTGCAGTGCTGCAGAACTGTGATCTTTAACTTGCTGCTCTTCTGCTGATTCTTGGGCTTTTTTGAAGAATCGGGGACCATGCAGAAGAAAAGGGAACCAAATGTGGTGCTGCCATCCAGAAAGGATCTAAGAGTGATAGCTCTTATCTAAAAGATAAATATCTAGCTGTAGTAACTAAAACAAAACAAAACCTTTTCTAAGTATTTGAACACTAATGAAGCCACGAGCTGCAGTCAGTTCTAGGTTTATAACCAGTCAATATGCCAGGCAATTTAGATTATGATTTTTACAGAATTTTCCAGCGGTTCCATGACATTGCCGTGCATCCTGGTGTGCATCAGCGAGCCTCGCTGAGGTTATTGAGCTCACTCGGTGATCCAGGACTGCTTAGCAGTCAGGTTTTGTGGGAGGGCTGTTAGAAAGGCAAGTGAAGGTGCTGCGTGGATTTTAACGAGGGTGAAAGACCACTCGCTGACTGTACTCAGCAGTGAAGTGTTTCTCTGAGCCAGGGTTTTATTGAAGAACCACAGGGTCTGGTGGGAGATGCCATGGTGTGTAATGTATCACGTCCACTGAAGGCATCTGACCATGTGATCATGTTTATCACATTTGCAGATACCATACTGTATCAGAGTACTCAAGAGTTACAGCAGAATAAACAACACGAGTGGCCTACAGAAAAGTAGAAATGTAGGAAGGATAAAATGAAATTAGGTATTTTTGATAAAAGAAGTTTTTGCTTGGGAGGAGTAGTCTGAAACTTAGGTACCCATTGGAAAGAATAAGCCTGTGAGGCAGCAGTGGCTGAGGGACAGGACCTTACAGGATGTGAACTGTTGGCAACCTAACCTTGAATTTGCAATGGAAATTACGAGAATGGAGAGTTAGCAATGCACTGGGCCATGTAAACAAAATTATCTACCTACTACAGCGAAATGAAATCATGTCTTTATATGGCCACAGGAAACCTTCTAGCAGAATCCCATAGGAAACTACCAGAAAAGTATCAATTAATAGGATTCTAAAAACCAAGCTATTCTAAATTCTAACAGGGAATTGAGATGTAGAGCAGGAGAGAACAGCTTTACATCTGTACAACTCATACAAGAAAATGGAAATATTGTTAATATTTACCAATAACAGAGAAGTCAAACATCAAAGAAGGTGAAGAAGTGTCTGGGATGATAAAACTATTAGCTATTTCTGACTGCTTCGTTTAGAAATATCACATTCCAGTACCACGTTTGGCACACGGTTAGTCCGAATGACAGCATGACCTTACTGTCACGTAGCTCCCTCTCTTCTGTTCCTGGTTTCATTCATATGGAGTGCGCTGAAATTATGCAAAATGAGGCTGGAGGGGATACTGAGGATTGTGTATTTCTTTTCCCTTTCCAGCTCTGACAAAAACATTTGGACCAATGTTTTGTATTTTTTATTTAAATACTGCCAGTGAAAGAGATTGTAAACACAAACATTTGGAGTTTGGACTTTGGGCCTTTCTGTGCCCTCTCAGTGCCTGGAACAATGTGACTCTCAGTCTCTCTGGGTCTCCGAACACGCGAGAACCATGTGAGGTAGAGGCCAGAACAGGAAATAGGTGACAGAAGAGGTGTCTGCTGGAAGGAAGCCTGCGACTGGAAGATCTCTCAGGCCGTGGGGAACTGCTCTGGGGGGGCAGAGGGCGCGCATTTGGGAAGCTTGGAACCACTGTAGATAAAGCACACAAGTATGTGCCTGTAGGCAGCGATCGTGGTCTGACTCAGTTAATGATCTGCATTTGGGCTTTTGAACCTTTTGTATTTAACACATAGGGTGACGCTTTTTTATAATTAAATGTTAGATAAAGCTATCAGAATCAGATTTGCTATGCTTGGAAGACTCTGTTGGACAAGTTGTGCCTTTCTATTTTGATATTACTACTGCAGACCTTCTTCTCCAGGACTGTAGACATCTCCACAAAGGTGGAGACATTTGGTGACATGCATCTCTTTCCATTTACCCAGAATACGAAAAATAGCAATGCTTTCTCTTAATTTATAGCAGGCTTGTAGCTCTGTTTAGATGGAAAAGTTCCTCCTTAGTCCAATTTGTTCTTTTGATTCTCGTGCTTCTCACTGTGTGCTGCTTCTCCTTAGCAATGGCTGCAGGGCACGTCCAGGAATTTGCATGCTTCACCGACTATGACAAAGAGCTGGTTTGTCACTGGAAGGTGCCTGCGCACATCAATTGCTCCAAAGAATTCCTGCTCTACTACAGGAAGGATTTTTTTTCACCGACCTACGACAGGAAGGATTTTTCTTCGCTGTCGTAAGTGTTTAATAAGATGTTACGTTATCATTGTTGGAATTTTGTATATCCTATAGCCATTATCAGCTTTGATTCCCTCCCTCTACTGTGGGTGTCTGTGACAGAATGTAATCCAGATTATTATTCTTGCCAGGAGGAAAATGGGTTAGTGCAATTAACAGCACGCTCTGTTCAGTGGTCTACGCTTCTGCAGACCCCTCTGGCACTCTTAGTACAGAGGAGTGACTAAGTCCTACTTGTAGGAGTGGTAGCGCTCTCATCAGTTTATGCAACCTTCATTTTGTGTGAAATTTTACCTCCTTCAGGAGAAATCTTACCTGTTTTACCAGTATGTAGCCTGTGTGGAAGGTATTCTCCCCTGGAGCCCAGGTGACTTTTTCTGTGCACAGCCTAACTCCATGTTCAAGTGCAGACCATTGTTCTGCAGCAGCGCCAGTCGTCATCTCCTGCAAGGGAAGATGCATCTGGGCTCTCCTGTTCCTCTCCACGTGATTTCTCCATGCAGACATCCAAACAACCTCACTTTGTTCACTGTAGTAAACCTGTTCCTATCCTAGCAAACTGTCAGTCCACTCCTCCAGGTTGAAGTGTGATGAAGGGTGTTAATTTTTCCTCTTGGGATCAATCCTTGGCCTTTCTGTCAGGTTCTACATTTGTGCGATACAGATATCTGAGGGGTGTTTGGGGAGAGTGGGTTGTTTGGGGGAGCTCAGTTTTGGTTTGGATTTGTTGGGGCCAAACATGTCTAGGAACTGAGCTTGTTTGTGTCGGATTTGATTAGCTCTGCACCTTGGGAAGCTTGATCTCACCTTTTCAAGAAATAGTGTGCCACAGTCGCTAAACATCACCTCATTTTCTGCCTGTTTTTCAGAGATCACGTGTGTTTTCCCGAGAATGGAAAAGAGAGTTTAAGGTGCTCTTGCACAATACATCCGGATTATTTTGTATCAGGCCTCACATATATTCTAGCTCTGCAGTTCAATGGGACAGATGTGTGGCACTACAGTGTTACACCAGCCCTGGTTGGTAAGAGACTGTTTACTTTGTCACCAGGACATCTGGTTCCAGGCTTTGCAATCCTAGCTGACGCCTCACTCCTGTCACTGGAACGGTTTTTCCTTCTCAGAGGTGAAAAGTGCCATGCTGGCTTAAATGCAGAATCCATTTGGCTTAGAAACCTGATTCTGGAGTAGATCCTTAAGGAAAGAGTATAAGTAGCTGGGCAAGCAGAGAGTGATTCTTCCTCTAGCTGCACCCTCCCAGCTGCCAGCCAGCAGCAGTTTGGGGGCTTAGACGTGTCTTCAGTGCATTTTACTTGTGGCTGTAGAATTCAGGGATGAAGAGGAACATGTTACTTCCAGTTTCTAGAAAGACACTAGGCTATCTCAGCTGAAATGTCTTCCGTTCCTGTCTCTGTCATACTCTGATTTCTCATGCTAGTTAGGTCATCCCCCTGAACAGAGATTTTTACAGTAATTGCTGTTGGATTATAACAACCAGTGATAAAAAGTTAATGGCTCTGCTCTTTGACAGGACAGAGCATGGGTACAGTTCGCGTCTCTCTAGAGACACCTGGTTTGTTTAGAACGGTGTGCTTGTTCACAACACTTGTCACCTCAAACACTCAGAAATTGCTCACCTACCTTAGGTGGGCATTCCCCTGCATCGAGGAGCTGATTCTTTTCAGAGTACTTGGCTATCACTGCTGCTTGTCAGCAGAATGCACAGGAGCCTGCATCAGTTCCTAAGAGGCCGGTAGCCCTGGCAGCCTGGCTGCAAAGCTGTCGGGAGCTCCGTGCCTGCCCCACGGCACAGCGTGCTACTGTGAGGGTGTGAGTTGTTCCCGTTTTTCCAGGCTGAAAGCTGCATCCAGTGCACCAAAAGGCTGAACTTGCAGTTTGTTCAGCCAACTTGAAGATTCAGTGCTTGTTAATGAATATCTTGCAGTTGCTCTGTTTTGGCTTCTGTATCATTGTGCTACAGCATAGTGAAAAGGGCTGAAGGCATTGACTGCGATGAGATTCTGGTCTCTGGTGAATGTTTGTCTCTCTGCTCTTCTCCATCACTGCTTTCCCATTGCCATGTTCTTAATTGTATTTTTTAACATACAGTTAAGCCAAGGGCCCCCAAAAATCTTGCCATTAAGAAAGTTGAAAATGGTAATTTCAATCTGAGCTGGGAGGAGAGCTACTCTCCTCCATCCATGCTCACTGGACAGCCGGTCATCTATGAAGTGAAATACTGGAGGAAGCAGCACCCGACAGAGGTAAGAGACAGCCAGTCTCTTCATTTTCTGTCTCTCTGGAGCTTTCAGGTTTACAAAGTCCTCTGAAAAGTCTTGAAACCATTTAATGAATAATGGTGTGAGGGCCAGCAAGGGGGAGTCCCACAATGTTCCTGTTCACACACTTGCCACAGGTCACATTGCCCCAGAGTGGTTCAGATGGGCTTTAAAGGCTTGAGACTCCTCTGACTGCCACCCCAAACCAGCCTGCTGCTCACAGGAGGCAGGGTGGAGATTGAAAATCCAGTGTTTCTGTTCCCTGACCTTCATTTGCTCCTTAGACATCAGGAAGCTGGAGGCTGTTCGTGACTCTGTGGCACACTTGAGGCATTTCAGGCACCCTCCTGAACAACCCAGCACTTCAGGACTGGGCTGCTTCTGGCAGGGGAAGCACATGCATGGTGGCAGGTCACAAATGTCACCTGCTTGGGACAACAAAGTGCAGTATCACACGTGGCAGATTAGGTATACAGTCATTCATCTGAAAGGTTGCTGAGACACGTAACGCTATTGTTGTTTGATTGCTGTCACTAAGCCTTTACCTCATAAAGAAATCGAAGTGAACTTTCTTACTTTCTTTTCAGGTTTCTGTAAAAGCAATTAACTACCAGGCAAAAAGCTTTGAAATTACTGCAAGCTCCTTGAGGAGAGGCTATGATTATGTTGTGAGTGTAAGGTGTAACTATACAGACTACCCGGCCTACTGGAGCGAATGGAGCGAGGAAGTTGAATTTCACTACGGTGAGTATTGTGACAAATAGCAGTTTGATGGAAGTATGGCGTAGTTTTATAAACCATATCATATATACCCTGCTGCTCTCCTCTCGGAGGAGAGTTATGGAGTCATCATCTTCACCCTTCTGAATTTATTGTGGATACAGCTGTAAAGGCTTCTAAATAGGCCAAACATAAAAAGGCAACTCCTGGGGAAACTAAGGAAGAGAAGGCCAAGGGAAGTTGGATTGTTCAGCCTTGTGAAAAGGAGGCTGAAAGGGGATGTGTTTATTCTCTATAAATATTTCACGAAGTAGACAACAGAGAAGGGGAAGAGCTATTTAAACTAAAGAGCAACATTGACGTAAGAGCAAGTGGGTATAAATGAACATGAGAGAAACCTCAGGCTGCAAATTGTGCAAGACTTTTAACTATCAGAGGGCTGGTGGTTTATAAAAATCTCTGAAGAGCAGCAGAGAGGACAAGCAGCATAGCTGCACTGCGGAGAAGTTGATAATGCCATTTGAGGGACCACGTGACGGGTTTGTCCCCGAGAGCTGACAAAGGGCCTCAGGGTGCTTGTTGGCTCTCCCCGCTGCTAACGCTCCCAGCAACTGGCTGCAGTACTGCACTGCCCTTCCAGGTGTGCCACACGCCATCGCTGCTGGTAGCTCTGTGTGTTGTGTTGTTTATCTGCTGGAGTCGTTATTTTACATCCTCTAAAGGAGCATTTTATTGAGGTGAAAAGAGCAGCAATGAATTTGGTGTTGCCAGTACTTGTATTTGTGTGCACAGACAGATGTAAGTGTGTATGTTTATTTAACAGATTACCAAGTAACGGCTGAAGACGTTCTGCATATGGCTGTTCCTGTGTCCTGCATACTGATCATGGCAGTGTCTGTAATCTGTTACTTCTGTTTTACCAAGTATGTACCGTACTGTCCACAGGTTTTATAGAGTAGTGGTTTGCACAGGTATCAGTACTGCTATCGATTAGCTGAATGTCCAGTGGTACAGGAATCTGATGTTTTGGTTTATCCTCAGCGCCTTTATCTTGCTCTCTGTGAGCAAACGTTTTGTAAACAAGACTCAGTTGCACCCTGCCGTTTTCTGAATAGATAACTGAATATTCTCTATTAATCTGACTAAATGGGCTTGTTACAGCACCCAAAGCAGGCTGCAGTTACGGAGTTTGTCAGTTTTGGACCCCCGTCTTTGCTGGAGTTCCAGTAATAGTGATTAAATATCTGAACTTCTTTTTAAATTTTTTAGTGGTAGTGTGAAAGTGGGATCCTATCTGATTCACAGATCATTTCAAACATGGTTAGAAGAACATGTGACTGTGGCTGTGCAGAGCAGTCACGCACCAAACACATAAACATCTTTGCACCAGTTTAATGAAAAGCAGCGCTTGGAGATGCGCAGAACAAGCGCTTCCTGTTGCTGCAATGCAGATGGCCGAGAGGGAAGTGTATGCTGATGGAGCCAAAACACAGTCAAAGCAAACAATTTTAATTCTTCCCTTGCAGAGTGAAGAAAGAATGGTGGGATCAAATCCCAAATCCAGCAAAGAGCCATTTGGTCGTAAAAAACGTCAAGGTAATGTAAAAGCTTTGCAAAAAATGCCTTTTCCTGATCACCAGAAGTAGAATACGTAACAAGTGCTATTGTCTGGCTGGTGCAGGAGATGCTAAATACAATTCACATGTGTCCTAAATCTCATTTGTTTCTTTATTAGCTTTCAGTTTTGTGCTACATTGATGAAATTAAGTTCCCTTTCCATGACTTAAAGCAGAGTCAGATGGAAAACCAAATGTAAGTAAGATAAAGGGGGGGAAAAAAAAAATCCTTTGCAATACAGCATAAAATAGTTTCCTATTACATAAGCATTAATTCTCCTTTCCTTTTGACTTCCAAAAACAGAAGTTGCAAGAACTGTCTGGCTCAAAGCTTGTCAAGCCAGAACTTCAAGGGAAAAGATAACATCGGAAATGTTGAGAAATCTTGCAGTTGCCACAGCAAGACTGGAGAGTGGTTTCCAAAAGGCAGCAGTGCAGTTTTAACCCCTGAGACAATTCTGGTCGAAGAGTCTATAGAAATCTGTGAATGTTCAACAGCCATTGAGGCTGAAAGCCAGGAAGAGACAAGTGACCAGATCACCGCGTTTGAGCCTTGTGAGAGCAGCATCGGTGCTTTCAGAGAGCACACTGAACACAACGATGCGCTAGCTAGCATGTTTATTGAGCTCCTGGCAGATGAAAACAACATGCAAGACAATAAAGACCCAGACAGCACCACAGGTGAGAATAAAACCTTTGAGAAACTTGAGTCACAAAATCCATCACAGCATAATCCAAAAGAAAGCGCAGCCCAGAGTCAGCAGCCATGTGATACTTCTCATACAGTCTCCCTTTCCACCAAAGCCTCTCAAGATGACTACAATTGTAGTACAGCCAGCAAGAAGTCAGAACAATCAGAAGAATCCTTTGAATCTGGCTATCGGAGCTCCAGCATAAATTCTGCTTCTCTGGATACAAGAGATCTGGTTCATCAAAGCCTTTTTCCATGCAGTTCTGAAAGTCAGCATGACTTGTGTGTCCTGATCCAGGAATCTCCAAATAAACCATCCTTTGGGACCAAGAAAGACAGAACAAGCAACCCTGCACACAAGAGTTTTGATGCCCTTGTGTCTCCATCCATGGAGTTGTGTAGCTCTGCCTACAAGAGCTGTGACACCCTCATGTCTCCACCCGTGGAGCCCTGTGGTTCTGCCTACAAGAGCTTTGATACTCTCGTGTCTCCATCTGTGGAGCCCTGTGGTTCTGCCTACAAGAGCTTTGATACTCTCGTGTCTCCATCTGTGGAGTCCTGTAGTTCTGCCTACAAGAGCTTTGATACTCTCGCGTCTGCATTCAAGGAACCAAGTAGCTCTGCCTATAAGAGCTTTGATACCCTTATGTCTCAGTCCACGGCTAACAGTAGCCTGACTCCATGTTCTGAAAATGTGTGCTCCTCACCACCTTTGACAGAGTTTTTAGAGACACCAGAACATAGCTGCAGAGATCAAATTTATCATCCCCCTAGCAATCAGACATGTTACACCAACTACGGATTGCCCTGCACTGAGCTTGATTTTCGAAGCACCCGTTCAGAACAGACTGCTTTTCCATCTTGCTCCACATATGCAAATGACAGTGCGTCAGCTTTCCTACCAGGGGAAGAAATACGTAAGCAAGTAACATATCAAAATGTTCAAAAGGAAGCCAATATAATTTCTTGCCCCATCAGATCTCAACCGTCTGGTTATCAACCTTTTGATAATGCAGTTAAATGTAACAGTACATACTGTGACAAGGACAGTGAGGTTATCTCTGGGTCACTATATGAACCCTTCGTTCGTCTTTTGTACAACAACTTGAGAGAAGCACCCCCAGATACCATCATCTGTGAACCTGGCCAGAGGAGAGATGACCACATATGTTTGGTTGTACAGGATTTTGACTGCAGCGTTGCCCCAGGTTTAGCCTCTAGTGACAGTGCCACACAGACCAGTGACAGCAGCCTTTGGATCATCAACTCCAGTGAGCTGTCTAGTGATAGCAAAGATGAAAATACCAGCAGAGACAAACAGCTCTTGCATTCGTTGGAGCTGAACTGTCAGGATTTTAACAGCGGAGAAAGAACTATCAAGGGGACGAAACCTAACGGCTTTAACTGTACTGGCAAAGGAATGCAAGAGAGCAGCAGTGACAGACTAAAGGCCGACCTTCACCGCCACATGCACACCCACTTGGGGGAACTTGGAAATGCAGGGGAAAATAAAGAGGCAATAAAGCACGCGGTAGGCAGGAGGTGTGGCTCAGCAGGTGGCCTACCAGAGGAGTCATTAGGCAGCATCGGGCTGACCTTAGAAAGAAAAACTGCAGAGCCCCTGGAGCTCCTGGTCTCAGAGGAGTTGTCAACCCCTCTTTTTGTGGATAATTCCTGCCCTTCTGATTCTCACACCATTCACAGCGAGGGTTCCAGACTGGCACCTGCAGTTAAAAAAGGACCAGTAGAACTGATGAAGGAAAACAACAAGAAGAATGAGAAAAAAATGAAACTTGTACAAGCCCTTGTACAGGAGGACAACTGCTACATGAAGGTAGCCTAGCCACACGTGCCAAGACAGAGCCAAACCAGCCTGTGGACATAAACTGTATGGCAAATTGAAATGTTGCTCGTTCTTCCAGTCTTCCCAGAAGCGAGGGCTGCTGCGGCTCAGGCATGGATTCTGTGGGTTGTAACACTCGTGCCTGCTGCAGGGCCTGCAACCAGTATGTGATGCAGGCCCCTGGGGAACAGCAGGGGTTAGCACCTAGCAACTGCAGCTACAGCTCTGTCGGGGGACGAAGCCAGAGCTAAAGCTTCTCTGGCCGTGACTGTTCTCTGGAAGTGAGCAGCAGCTGCGTAACGTAGGATTCCTTAGTACGGCTCCTGTAGTTGCTGCCTCGGCTGGGTGCCTTGCTCGGGAAGCACAGCGAGGTGATGTGGGAGGTGCCAACACACCCGGGGTGGGAGGTGGGTGCAGCTCAGAGGGGAAGTAACTGGGGCTGGCAGCATCACACAGCTTCTGTAGCATATTTACTGGGGGGCGGGAAGGGGAGCGCCTGTGCCTCGCCCCAGCGTGGAGTGTTTGTCTCTCTACTTGCTCAATCAAGACCTGAAATAAAGATGACTGTCACTTGGGCTTAAGCAATGCTATTATTGATGATTAGTTTGTTATTCTGTAGAAGTAAGCGGAGTTATTCCATACTTCTGCAGCTGTAAGTGGAATCAGACATTTCTGAGCAGTGTTTTCCCAGAAAGTTCATACAGTTTATGGTCAGACTCCCTAAACTGATGGAGCATTTTTTCAGCTTCTTGTTCTTGTCCAGTCAGAACGGGAATTATGCCTGCAGCTTTAAGGCAGCCTATACTATTATGGTTCCAAAAGTTTTACTTGTGACTGTGAACTTTTCTAGGATGTTATCATATATTTTGGTACAGTTAATTTCACCCTAGTATGCTGGCAGTGGCACAAAATTGTTAAGAACCGTTATGTAATTTTATGTGTATTAAAATACCTATGTGTATTCTCATTATGTAGCACCCCCTATTTGCATTGCCGTTCATAAGGAAGGGAACCGTAATGCTAAGCACAGAAACTGGTGTAATGTGTTTTGTAAGTCAGATTTTTGTATTGCAAATCTCTCTTCAAAGTTCCCGTTGCCCAAGCAGTAGAGGTATCTGTGCATTAATTTTGCAGCGGTAAAAAAGGGTATGCAAACCCTGGAGGGAGACTTGTAGTGTCTGCATTCAGATGTGAGAGTTAATATTTGTATAGGTACTGGTTTGTCACTTACATTCACTAAGGTGGTGGTTAGTGAAGCATCTTACTGCTTGTAGCGGCTGATGAACATCTTATTTGTTTTTACTGAAAGTATCAGGCTGAATTTTATTTTCACTCGGGTGAGGTTTAATTCTATCAGAGATGCTCCTCCTTTGCACAAGGGCAGTCGCTGCTGTAGTTGACACTAGCACAAATTCTGCTGTGAGGCAGGCAGATGAAGAGGCTTTCCAGGACCCGTCAACCGAACGTGCACTGAAATGGTGGAACAGGAGGGTGCACAGAGGCCATGGTCTGCCTCATGAGTAAGATGACTCACTTCCCCAAATCCAAGCAAAATCAAGTTGAAGCAAAAACCCACAGCTGAGTTATTGCAGCTGCCCGGAATGGGTTACTCACTGTTTACTGCAGGAGCCCAGGACTGCGAAGGAAGGCAAGGGACACTAGTGGTGCTTTCTTCCCCTTCTGCTCCTGCGCTCTCCCTTGTGCTCTTTGTGCCGTGCTCCTGGAAGGCTTGCACTTGGCTGGAGCAGCCAGGAGAGGTCTGCTCAGGTGGGATTGGAAAGCTGTTTGCTGCAGTATTTCTCTGCTCAGCCCCAGCTTCATTCTGCCTTTCCCTGGCTTTTTTTCTTCTACATAGCTGTGCCCTCCTGCTGCTCATTGCCGTTGGATAGCTTGCTCTGCATAGGTATTTTTCCCCTTTTCTCCCTTCAGTATTTAGTGAAATCAAGCTGTAATTCTTCGAAGAGGGGGAGCCACATTCGTATGCCTTTGCATAACCCAGAACTGACGACAAGCACCAGAGCTGGCTGGGCAGCTCACCCCCGGCCTGCGATAGCCACAGTGCATGGCTGCAGCGGGAGCCAACGTCATGTTCTGTCCTCCCCTGCCTCCACTTTTGCCACAGAATCATTGAATGCTTTGGCGTGGAAGGGACCTTTAGGGTCACCCAGCCCAACCTCCCTGCAGTGAGCAGGGACATCTTTAACCAGACCAGGCTGCTCACAGCCCCGTCCAACCTGGCCTGGAATGTTCCCAGGGATGGGGCCTCCACCACCTCTCTGGGCAACCTGTTCCAGTGTCTCACCACCCTCACTGTAAAGAATTTCTTCCTTAGATCCAATCTAAACCTACCCTCGTTCAGGTTAAAACCATCAACCCTTGTCCTGTCACAGCTGACCCTGCTAAAAAGATTGTCCCCACCTTTCCTCTGGGCCCCCTTTAAGCCCTGAACGGCCGCAATCAGCTCTGCCTGCAGCCTCCTCTTCTCCAGGCTGAACAACCCCAGCTCTCCCAGCCTGGCCCCGTAGCAGAGGGGCTCCAGCCCTCGGATCATT